GGCGGATACTGTCAAAGATCTCTTGGCGAAACTGTCCGAACCTCCGGTTTTGGCTTTCCCGGATTGGGGCGCTGTCGCGGATGGCAGCTGCCCTCTCCGGCTTTGCTGTGACGCCTGTGTGGATGGTTTTGGTGGGGCTCTTGAACAGGAACAGGCCCATGGTTCCGTTCGCCCAATTCTGTTCGTTACCCGCGTTACGCTGGAATCCGAGCGCAATTGGACCGTGCTCGACTTGGAGGCTGGAAGTATCGTGTGGGCAATCAAACGCCTGCGCGGCTACTTTTGGTCTACGCACTTTCTGATTTATTCGGACCACGAGACTTTGGCAAGCATCGTCAAGGTGGGTGAACACAGCGCCCGCGTTCAACGTTGGCTCGAGTTCCTTTCCTCGTTCAATTACACCCTTGTCTACCGCAAAGGCACTGCCAACGCCAATGTGGATTTCGTTCCCGGCTGCCCTTGCCGGCAACCGAAGCGGATAGACGCGTTGGCACACGCGCCTTTGACGGAAGATGACTTTGGGGACTTCCGCCGTTTTGGGCCACAAATGGTCCTACCGACTCCGTCGCCCTCCTCCGTAGTTGACAAGTCGATTTTTTCGCTTCTTGGTGTTTTTGCTGTTGTTTGCGATACAGCCCCCGTGAGTTCTGTGCCCGATGGACCTCCTCCGGCTTCCGTTACTGCGGAGCCAGACGCCGCTCCCTCATTCACCGTCGGAACCTCGTTGGCTGCCTTGTCGCTTTCGCGTGGCCCTCTGATTTCTTCTCGTACTCGGGCGAAAACGAATTCGGCCTCTGGCATGGCTCACAGCCGTCCCAATTATTTTCAAAAACAACCACGGGCCGTTGTGGTGCCCAGGACGCCGCGGCCTTCTCGAACGCCGGCCCAGTGGAGCGGTGCCGCGAAATCTACGAGAGCCGTCGGTAACCCTACCTCTGGTCCGCCGCCTTTTTCGGCGCCGGCTGGGCTGCCGCCGCCGCCGCCGCCCCCGCGTGCTGCCGATACCCCGGTGCCACCGCTACCGCCCGCGGCGCCCACACAGACAGTGTTGTCGCCCGCGGGTGCTAACCCTGAGGCTTCGGTGGTACCGCCCACGGCCGCTGAGGAAGTTCATCTCCGCGATTGTGTGCATACATTCTCGCATGCCGACTGGGCCCGCGAACAGATGTCGGAAAGTGAGTGTGAAGCGGCTATACATTTTTTTATCTCTGGGGTTCCCGCTGGTATTGCCGGATACATTCTGAGATAGCTTGTTCTGTGCGCGACGACCGGCGTTGTCTGATGTTGTCGCCCTCGCATCTGAAACATGCCTGCACACTACAGACGATGGCACGCGATTGTTGGTGCGAAATTCTGCTCCACTGCCTGTCGGTAGTTCGGGCGGGCGTATCACTCGCCTCCCACCTTCGAAGACTCCGCGCATATACGTGCCTATGATGTTGCGACCTTGAGTCCTACAAGCATGTCACGCCACCGCGTCTTTTCACTTGGGTACCGCTCGGACTTGACGTATGTTGGAGCGATTCTTCTGGTGGATTGGGATGGACTTGTCCGTTCGTTGGTGGCTTCGGCCTTGTTTAGTTTGCCAAGCACGCAAGACTTCCCGGCAAAAGTATCGCTGGCCTACGCTCACTCTGCCCCTCCCGAATGAGTCGGGTATTGTAGTGAGCGTCGATTTGTTTGGGCCATTGCCGGTCACGTCCCGTGGGAATGCATATATACTGTTGTTTACAGACCGTTTCAGTCGACGGGCGGATATGTATGCCACTACCAAGGCGGAATTTACCGCTAAGGGAACGGCCAACATTTTCGTCAACCGCTACATGACGTTGTGGGGTTGTCCGGTGACTCTTCTTTCGGATAACGGCATGCAATTTTGTTCCAAGTCGTCCATGTCTATTTACGAGCTGATGAACATCGGGAAAGTCACCACCAGTTCGCACCACCCCCAAACTAACGGTGGGGCGGAGCGTGTTAACCACACCATGGCTCAAATGCTCGCTGTTGTGGTCAATGTGCGTCAGGACGATTGGGACGCCCATCTTCCCCATGTAGAGTTTGCATACGACAACTCGGTAAACACCGCCACAGGCTTGGCGCCGAATGAAGTGCATATTGGACGGTTGCCCCGTCTCCCGTTTTCTGGTTTGGACCACCCTAGCGTGGGTGGCCATCAAAGTTTGGATCGAGACCAGCTCGCTTTCTGCATCCTTGCGGTGGAATACCAGAGAATAGCCTACGCTTTGGTGCGGGAACAACATGCGATTACGGTGTCGCATGTCGAACGCCGGAACTCTGCACTGGTGGACGGTTTGCGTCACATACCGAAATATGACGTTGGTGGTTGGGTTTGGGTCTACAACTCCACCGCTACTATTCGGCAGCGTGTGCGGAAACACACCGATGATCTGGTGCTCAAAGCGAAGCTTTCGCTCAAATATACCGGACCCTGTAAGATCCTTGCTGTTGGCCCAGCCAAAGCGGAGGATTCACCGGATGGGAAACCTGTGCAGCGCACACTTCTCTACCTGGACCTGCCACTGGACATGCTGGGACCAGAATCTCGCCGCCGTGTCTCAGTTTTGCGGTGTAAACCGTGTACCAACCCATACGACACGGACGACCTGCCCACGCATATGCCGGCCAATCTGTCGAAATATGTTTTGCACTCGTATAGTAGCAAGTCTCCCCCGTATAATTTGACTACTGATGATATTGTAGCGGGGTCTAGTCGTCTAGATGTTGAGAATATTTCGGGACACCAAATTGTACGTGGACGAGATCGTGTGGTAGCCGTTTTGTACCTGACTCATTGGATGGGTTTGTTGACCCCGTCGTGGGAAAGGGAGTCCGACTTGCAGGAATACAGAAAACACATCTTGCTTTACTGGTCTGGTAACGCTAGTCAGCGCGTACAAGGGAACCGAGCTTATCGTAATGCTCGGATAGCTTCGGCCGACCGAGGACTTGCTCGGAAGCAGGCCGAACGTTTCATTGCTCCCGGGTACGAGTCGGTCTCGCGTGATGTTTGGTTGGCTCGGTTCTCTGTTTCCGTTCTACCTGTCGGAGCCCACATTTGGCACAAAGCTTTGGATAGACTTTGGTGGCTTGGGAAAATAAGTAATTTCGCAACAGGCCAGTACATTGTTCGATTTTTGGACACCCCCGGTCCCCGACAGCTGTCTCTCCCGGAGCATAAATACTCCACGGTTTTAGATGCTCCTTGCGGTTCTGGGTGTTTGCAAAAACACCGCACTCATGGTTTGACCAACCATTCCACGGATGATGGCGTTACGTCGCGAACACCAGGCGTTGTGGCACAGCTAGCTGTTGCCTCATCTGGATCTGTGCTTTGATAGCATGCCGCCTTCGGGCCGCTATATGTTTTTTTGTTTTTTGTGATTTTTTTTCCACGTCGTACGCAGTGGTACGCTAAACGCGTGTTTGGGTAGTGTGAGCTTCTTCTATCGTTGCAACAGTTCCCCCGACCTTCGCGCTTTCGCCACGACCAAACGGTTAACCCGTTATGATTCAGACTGGTTCCGTCGTTGGCGATGTGATTCTTAGTAGTCATCACTGTGTGGTGTGGGAATGGTTTGGAGTATTTGTCCGGGATGAGAAAGTAGTTGCTTTTATTTTTTTCTTATTTTGTCTGATTGGAAAGTCGAATCTTCGATCTTTATCATTTGAAGTTGAGTATTGGATTGAAGATTAAGTATCTGCATCTACGACTTCCCAGAGGGTGGGCTAATGTAATGGAGCAACTAGTGTATGAGCATTGTACGAGCGTTTCATGAACGTTGTATGAGCGCTTATTGGATATTTTGACTTTGCTTTGGATATGGATAGCTGGCGTCGTTGAGGGGTATTGAAATAGCTTGAAGGAAGATCAAAATCCCAGCCCCGCTCCCTCACCCTCCGAGTGGGCGCTGAGCGAACCTGGTCTAAGAAGGCTAAAACATGAGATCGGACAACAACTGTGAGTACCCGAAGCCAGGAGCAACGAACTTGCTCCCTCCCTCTTTTATTTCTCTGTTCCTCCATAACAATGGTCGACTCCACCGGCAAGTTGTCTCGTGTGAACCAGGATGCGGTGAAACTTTGCTGGAACGGGATGCAAAAGCGCACGCGGCATACCGACGTGTTTTGCGTGTCGTGACGTGTTGGATGGCTGCATGCGGGAAGCGCATGCCGGCGAAGGGTGTTTCAAGGTGCAGCTGCTGATTGTAACACGCATGGGGGCATAGGATTGACTCGTGTGAGAGGAAGCGCGTGTGACGAACAAGTAATATTTTGACCACAAATTGTGTATTGTGCAGAGTGGCAGTCTAGACACCCATCACCTTCACCAATCCTAATGGTGCCTTTCCAGCCAGGAGTTTCTTGTTTTTTTCGTTTTCACGGTCGTAAGAGGCATGGAACACGTCGTTCCCAAATCGGCCTGCCCTTATCACCTAACGGTGAGTCGCGTCCATACTTCGAAAATAGTTGCCCCTACTCAAGGCGTCTTCTCGTCTGCACTGGCAGGCATCTAGACGAAGACTGCGTCGCGCACCGAGCCTGGATGCGCATGGCTGAAGCCGGACACGAACTCCAAGAGAGTTGCACGTGCCCTCACTGCGGGGAAACTGTGCGGCGCTCCCAGCTGACGCTACACTTCCAGTACCAGTGTCATTGGTTCAAGGAGCAGCGCCGCAAAGCCGGTTGCGGTGCCTGGGTTCCGCGGCAATGTCGAGCAGAACAGTAGGGACGATTTTGCCGGGATTCGAGCGCGGTTCGCAGACGCCGGCGTCTGGCGAGGGCCAGGGCCTGTTTGTGTACCCCCGTGACCACCCACGGAGGTTGCCGTGCCCACCCACGGTACGATGTCTGTATGGGGACCATGTTAACCCAGAGGACCGATGCAGACGATATATATATCCTTGATTAACACACACGTGCTGTTCCAGCACGGACCGAAGTCAGTACAGGTCCTGTTTCAGTGAACACAAGCGCGGGCTCTCACGAGGGGGACCGCACTTGGACCCCCAACAGTATACCCCCCGCACACATGTTCTATGCAGATCGAATCTTGTATCCAAGTACCCCAAACAGCCCCCCTGCTTGATACAATATACGATCTGGAAGTCCAAGGTGGATAATCTTCCTACCAATACAAAAACACAAATAACCACTCGAGAAACATCCTCTACAAAACTGGTTACGCATTTTACGCAAAGCGTCTCCATCAGTATATTCATGAATCCAATGTATTCTCAAACCGTCAAAACAAAAGAATCATCCTCAGAAGAGTACCCAACAAATATCTGCGCTACATCAGAAAAGCGTCAGAACGGTGACGGACAAATCTGGAAAAACAGCTTCAAAAGAGTTGACACAACGTCCTCAAATAACACAAAGTTTCAAGTTCTCGACCAATCAAAACGAGCATTCGGAAAGCACAAGGGCCCCAACCATTACTCGTCAAAACATGTCAAACCCTTCCTCCAATGTAGCATCCAAAGACCAAACCCTTTAACAGCGTGCACATGCTATCGGTGCCTCAGCTGTTGTCCAAGAGACGATAGGAAACACACGCCAAAATCCATGCAAACAGCCCGCCTGCTGCAACATCTCCCGAAACATGCAAATTCTGTGCCACCCGTATCTCACTGGTTTTGCCACAAGACAGCAATATCAATACCAATATCAACACGTAACAGCCCCCCAGCTGGAATATTTCCCCGAAACATACAGATAAATCTGCCTGCGCTTTCTTCCCTCCCTTTCCAACCAACAGAGGATCTCAAAACATCAAAGCGTACGAAACAGCCCCTAAGCTGAAACATGCCCTGCATACATATGAAAAACACATAGCATTCGCTAGTGTTGCGTCTGGAATCATGGCAACATATTTCCTCCCCCCCTGATTCTTGACCCAAAACACAGCAGAAGGAAGAAAACGCCAAGAAAATCACGACGAAACAAATCCAACTTGAACAGAACTCGACGAAAGCACTCTGCTCTGCTGGTACTGCGGCTAGAAACATGGTACACGAATCCCCCCCGCATGGTTCTTGACAGCAGCACAAACAGCAGTTCGACATTTGTCATTGAATTTCGCATCTTACACAAATTCGGGTTCGAAACACAACAAGTCAAAACCCAGAAACAAAAATTACTCAACCACAAACAGGGATGCCGTACACGTTAACGCATTGTCTCTCGGATGCGATTCCTGGATGAATTTATCGTCTTCGGCGCAACGGGAAGAAACCCGACATGGAACAACAAAAAATAAAAACCACAAAGAACATAACAACGTGAAGTCAACATGCCAATACCTCCACACAAAACCCAAACAATTCGTTAATATTTCACATGGTCTCCAATTTGGCGCAAATATGGTGAGGTCGTTGGTGCCACCATATTCTCGCCCTGCTCGGTCGATTCGAGGGTGTCCACCGGAGCCATATATCCGTCTTCCGCTTCGCCTTTACTCCCCAAATTACGCTGCGCCCGCCCCGCGGTAGCTTGCGCGTACGTCGCCGGGGCTCGCTGCAGGTGTAGCGCTGTGAGGGGCACGGGAAGGGTGGGCGGAGGGAAACCGACAAGGGCAAACTCTTCCTCCACTCGCGCGCCCTCTCATTCCCGCTCAAACTGCTGCCGTTGCCGGTGGCGCCGCTCCCGCCGTCGCTGCTGCCGAAGCCGCCGCCGCCGCCGCTGCTGCTGCTGCGGCCACTCCTACCGTCGCCGTTGTCGCCGTTGTTGCCCCCCCGGGAGCTCTGGCCGAGGCCGCCACTGCATCTGCCGCCGACGGAGCTCTGGCCGAAGCCACCACTTACGTCGCGGCGCGTCCTGCCGTCGTCGCCCCCTCCCGGAGCTCTGGCCGTAGCCGCCACTCCCGCTGCCGCCGACGGAGCTCTAGCCGAAGCCACCACTGCCGTCGCCGCTCCTGATGACGCTGCTGCCGGGGACGGCGCTCTGGTCGAAGCCGTTCGCGCCGCCGCCGCCGCCGCTCCCGGTGGTGCCGCTTGGTGCGAAGCATCATCCCCCCGCATGTGCCCATGTATCGCCACCTCGAACAAATGGGAGGTCCACTCCCAGCACGGCCCCCCTGGTCGCTCTCCTCCACCGGGACTGCTTCCCTCTGGTAAAGGGATGCATTAACGCTCCATCCCAGGCTGCGCCATCTCCACCGTCGCCGCTGCTGTTGCTGCGGCCACCGCTGCTCCGGTCCTCCTTTCCACCGCTGTTGTGGTCTCCCTTCTCACGCACCTCCTGCGCAAACAATCCTCCCGGGTCAAAAGGGTACGACGCGCCCCTCTCGAAACCGCAGATGCCGTCGGCTCCACCGCTGCTGCAGGTTAGGTCGCCGCTGTCGGCGCACGTATCTTGACTGCCCGGCGCCAACGCGGCAACCGGGGACGCAGCTGCTACTGCTGTCCCCACCGCCGCCGTTGCCATCGCCGCTGCTGCTACCGTCTCGATGCTGGGCACCATCGCGGCCACCGAGGATGCCGCTGCTGCTGCTGTTCCCACCGCCGCCGTTTACGTCGCAGCCACTGCCGTGGTCGCTCCATGCGGCGTTACTCCTGCCGCCGCAGCTTTGACCGAAGCCGCCGTTGCGACCGCCGGTGCGGATGCCATTCCACAAATCCCAACCGTTGAAGATGGGGCAGCAGGACGGATCTCATCGGCATGGTTTGCTGTGGTTGATGACACAAGTGAGGCTGCTGGCTGCTGCTGCTGCTGCTGCTGCTGCTGCTGCGACGGTGACTGCTTGGGTTGTTGCGATGCCGCGGATGGCGAAACTACAACAACGCGGTACGGTCCGGGAATCTGCCGCATTGCTACACTTCTACTGTACCCGGCCTCCATGAGATCCAGCTCTGCGCGTTTCCGCGCTACTGCAGGTGCTACACGTGATGTCGTGGCTCGCGGGGGAGAATGAGTGGCAGGGTGTGTAACTGCGGTGAGAGAAGCTACGATGGCGGGGGCTTTTACCGGCAAAGATGTTATTGCAAACGAACCGGCAGCAGCCNCTGCTGCTGCTGCTGGAACACAGGCCCGCCGCCAAAGCCACCGTTCCTCCGCTGCTGAAACGGTCCGCGGGCGAGGTTGAACTTGCAATACGGATGTAGTCTAAATGACCTTTCTCTCCACAGCAGCTGCATTGGTGCTGCTGCTCGGGAGGGTCGTTGGGCACCAGCTGCTGCTGCTGCTGGTACCGGCTGTGCCCTGTAAGGACATGGTTGTGGCGGCTGCTCTGCTGCTGCACTCCTCTTGTCACCTGCTGCTGGTGTCCACCGTACCACACATACATGGTGCTTCTTCCCCTCTCTGAAAGAAATTGATTTGGATCGATCCTTCCGTCCTTGTCAAAAAATAGTCTCCCTGATCCACCGGGCCCACCCCCGGCATGTACACCTCCTCCAGCTG